CGGTTTTCGTTTGAGTTTGTTGTCGTAGATTGTTAACAAAATATACATTAAAAACATTGGTTATGTTTCATCATTTTAATTTACTCGTAGAAAAAGTATTGTATGCATTCATTACATAATTAGGTCTTCAAATCTCGTATATTAATTAGGCCAGTCAACAAAGCTTAGTAGCCTATAAACGCGGTACTCGATTAAAAGAACCCTTATTATACAACGATTACATAAATGTTTCGCAGAGACAAATAAACAAAGACCAAGAAGAAGAACAAAATAAATTGTGACTTATTATTCCTTAGGTGTCATCGACTACATCGTATTATTCTCTCTAAACATAAATCATGATCCGATATCTCGAAAAACATTTCAAGTCTAAAATTAATACAGTTAAAACTTCAAATGATGAAATGTTTACGAATATTAGTCAGATGTAAAACATTTTTCCCGCATTATTGAGAGCTTTGTTCGAACCCATAATAAATTAGCGCCGAAAGATTTTTAAGTGCTTCGACCTTTTCTTGTTCCTTGTCTAACGAACGTCTAATGTTGTATATTCATTTATAGCCTTGAAGTTTCCAAGAACTCTATATTACCGTGATGTGTAGAGTACGCTGAAATATGATACTTTCTTAAATAATATTAAGTGACAGGAGGAACAAGTCGTGCGTCTGAAGGTGAGCTACACGCTTGTCCAGAACAGTTGCAGCTCAGAGCTTTAAATCGCAAAGATCTGAGGGGCCCTGACACTGCACCCTGAGACATAAGTTGACAAGGCCCGGGTGCCTGTAATTTCATCAGCACCCTTGCCCTTCAATTTCATTCGAAGAATTCATTCGCCTCACTTTTGAAAATGTCTTGGTTTGCCGCCAAGGATTTTTTTTAAATTTATTTCATAACCTTAGATACAAGTCGAAAAATTAGAGAGCTTAGTGTATGTTGCCAACTCAAGGTTTTGAAAAAATCCATACACACTGAAACTATTTTTACCAGATTTATTAATAACAGCAATTTGCTCAACAACTGCAATTATGCTAAAGAATATGCCAACTTACGCGTTTCTGGTCTTCTTTTCACGATAATATTATTTCATACTCAAATATGCTATAATTGTAAATATGCACCTTTTTAAATAAACGACATTTTTTATGTTTAATATATTATTTTAATTGTTCCATCTATATTAGTTGATCTACGGATAAATTATAAATGAACAACTGCATTCTAGGCAACACTATCATTATGTATAAGCATACTAAATTAATATTTGGTGTTCAATAATCTCAGCACAGAGTACTAAAAAAACCAACCTCAAAAGTACGTGGAATTACGTCTATTTGCTAAGTTTTATTGCAATATCCCCTAGTTCGCCACTATACAAGACTTGATACTGGAGATAATAAAAAACGGTTCTCACTACTCAAAGTGTATTGAGAGAAAAACGCCTTGAATTGGAGAAATAGCAAAATCAACCATTAAAATAATTGCTCCTTAAGTAAAATTTAAGCGCTATTTATAAAAATGAATCTTCATGCGTGAACAGCCACACTTAGAGGTGGATGATTTTCTTCAAAATGAAATGGGACCACTATGGAAGTACTCCCTTTCCAACAAAAAAAGAATCACGAAAACCGGTTCACAAATACCGGAGTTATCGCGTAACATACGTACAAAAAAACATACAGTCGAATTGAGAACCTCCTCCTTTTTTGAAGTCGGTTAAAAATAATATTTGATCCTTTTTATGATATTGGCCATATCTTTTAACGATTGATGACATTCTTTTCATATTGATGTCCTTTTACTTTGTTAGTATATGAAAAAGCAAAAGCCCATTTTCTTGCGCTTCCAAACATGTTTTCAGGTCAGATTATATTATAATTAATATAATATTACTATACAATTATAATCAACATTTACTTACTATTAAAAAGAAGTATCTATATTATATTTTTATTGCTTATTAGTCTTAGTTTTGAACATAAAACTATCGAAGTTAATTTATACAAATCAAATATTTTGTGCGTAGCTCAGAATAGATAAAAATATCCATTGATTTAATTTATTTTATTTCTCAGAAAGAGGATCGATCATTAAAAAAGATGGGGGTTTAGATTTTTTCGCCTGTAAATCATTTAAATACAAGCCATTCTTCTCTCCATACAATGCAACCTTGTGTTTAACATAGGAACCCAAACTCTTGAAAGACGTCTGTGCCTACCAGTGGGACTTAGGATTATATTTACCCTCACCCTATAGGCCACTCGGTGTTAGTAATTCTGTGTTGAAATCGTACCGAGAAATACGGTTACTAAACTAAAATGTCGGTCCCACTTGCGCATGGCCACTATTTGTAGACTTGTAATTCACAAACATGCAAAACAATGTCAACAATGTATTGCTGCGTCTAAACAGATGTGCGTTGGCGTCGTTCCTTAGCTGCTGTAGTATTAATAAGCGTTTCACATTTTGTGAAACAGTCTCAAAGAATTAAGCTTAGACTGAAATTTATATTTAAATAATCGAAAGCGAACCTGGCCAAATTGTTTTGATAACCCATAAGGGTCGATACGTCCTCAGCTCGAATTAAAGTTTTTCCCGTACATTAGTACCGCATTAAGGGCTCATTTTCCTTGAGTCGAGCGACAGGGACACTGGCTTAATTAACCGACTTCAAAAAAAGGAGGAGGTTCTCAATTCGACTGCATGTTTTTTTTGTATGTATGTTACGCGATAACTCCAGTATTTGTGAACCGATTTTCGTGATTATTTTTTTGTTGGATAGATCACGCACGTAGATTAATTTTCATAAATAGCGCCTAAATTTTATCATAAGTGGCAATTGATTTTGCTATTCTCCAATTCAAGGCGTTTTTCTCTCTCAATATATTACTTTGAGTAGCGAGAACCGATTTTTATCATCTCTTGTGTGAAGTCCCGTATAGTGGAGAACTAGGGGATGAATCCGGGTTTGCGCTCTTTCTGGTTACCGATTTCAATAAAACTTGGTACTTATAATGTAACTCCACGTACTTTTGAGGTCAGTGTTTTTAGTATTTGTACTGAGAATATTTCTGAATTTATTTTTTTACAAACGAAAATAAAGGCATTTGAAAAATGTATATCGTACACTTTACGTGTTCTATTTAGTTCAGTGGAGATAAAAAAAAAATATTGTCGAAAAAAAGATGAGGAGAGACTTTTAAGGACAAAGCAGAACCACACTGAACGTCGAAAGCCAGCGAAAGAGAATTATGGAAGACAATGGGGTAGAAAGTTACCTATATATGCCAATGTTAATACCGTAGTAAAAATAAAAGCTTATTTTATTTCATTTATGGCTTAGACGATGTAATTTTAGTAGCGAGAGCTCTTTGTGAAAAAGTTGTCCAGAGAAGAAAAGCTTACCTACCTATTTCTGCCGCCAAGCTGTAATGTGAGTTTACTGCATTCCGGATTTGGAGGGTAGGGTGCTGGTGAAATTACAGCAACTGGTCAACTTATGTCTCAAGGTGACGGGTGCAATTTCAGTGCCCCTAAGATATTTGGTATTTAAAGCTCTGAGTGGCACGCCAACTACAATGGACAAGAGTGTCGCTTACGACCAGGTGCACGACTTGTTCGTCCCGTCACTCGGTATCATAAAAAATGTAGGACAACATCGAGATAAACCTGTCAAGAGGTTCTCGGAACTCTTCGTTCGCAAATGAAGTTCTCAACCTGCTTTGGACCAACATAAGACTCGTGCCCAGCAGTGCCACGTTTATGTGTCGAATGTACATTGTACAATGAAATTAACAAGGACAGAAGTCTGTTGTAAATGTTGCAATATAATTATCGTACTCAGTAGTAATTTTTTAAACTGTTACATTCGTAGGGTCGTATTCTAGAACTCTACTCAATGCTCAAGTCAGGATTTGAGTATGGTTTAAAGCACTCGAAATCATACTCAAGTCCCTGCCATTAGGGTCGTATTTCCAGTGCTTGTGTTTCAATTGCAATCCTGACTTGAGCATTGAGTAGAGTTTTAGAATACGACCCTTAATTTGGCTGTTTTCAAATAGTCTGTACTCGGTTTTTTTTTAAAAAAGCTAGCTTTGCTATTGTTGGCGATATTTTTTTTATTTGGGTTAAAGTTAAAGAATCAGAAGAGTTATTTTAAGTAAAACGAGTAAACCAATTCTTTTGCGATTTTAGCATTGAATATGAGAAAGTGTAGTTTCTCCACCACATGTCTTCTCTAAATAAAGCTGAGTAACATGTAACATTAGAAAAGAATTATTTTTAAAATCGTATACGTTGTAAATTTTTCCAGAATGCCAACCTAATTAAGTCCTGTAATTAAATATGGGTGTCCCGTTGCGAAACTTGGAACCCTGCCATATAATCGTATCACAAAAGTTTTTTTATTAGAAACGCCTTGTAACATTGTTTGGGCAGTTTATTCGTCACTGTTCTGATGGTTTATTAATTTATTATTACACAGGTTATTATAGAAGTAAACATATTTTATTCCTATTTATTTTCTTAGATTTTTCCATAACATAGATAAATCCTATATGATCATAAGATAATCTACTTATATTATTTATACATAATACATATACGTAAACAAAAATTTTGTTTTTGAATTCTTAATTACTAAAACAGAATGAAACGACATTTACCCAATAAATGTACAAAATTTTAGAAATGGCAATATGGTTCCTCATACGTCAAATATAATCTGACATTAACTAGAGACGCGCCTGTGTCGACTATTTATGGAATCAATAATTTTTTTGCAAATAACCAAACAGTTTCATTTAAATATCAAATCATTGACTCATATAAAAAATTTGCTTTTCAAAAAAGTCCATTTTTTGTTTGGTAACATAAAATATACAGGCACGCATTGCTCCTTTAATAATTTGAATCGACTACGTAGTAAGTGTTTTTACAACGGTTTTATAGATATCTCTTTCTCGCTCTTCACTTATGTCTTCTCTTTCCCACGCAAAAGTTGGCTGTTGAGTGAAGTTTAGAATATAGTTTGACGAATTTATTCTGTTTCGTGTTAATTCTCCGATAATGTGCATCCACGTCGATTTCGATTAATGAAGGCCTTATTTAACTCGAGTGTTTTGTGCGCAAAAGTGATATTTAATGAAATGGACTGGTGTCGTTAATCAAATTAAAAGGATGAACGACCTTTTATACATCTCCATACCTATAAACAAACAGCTGTAAATGTCTACACTTGTTGCACCCACTTTCAAAAATTGAAGAATTTACATGTTTATGTGAGAAAGTGAACTTGATATCTTATTTACATGACATAGATACCAAAGGTTCTTGTTATTTGATTTACCGTTATGTTTTACCGAACGTGGGAATTAAATCATGTTTTCATTGCAAAGATCGTTAGTTGCACCTGCAGTGCAGTGATTGCGTCGTGCATCGTGTGATTATGGAACCTTTGTGATGGAAATCCTGTTAGTTGATACGTGGAAATTATCGCAGCAAGTAAAAATAACACGATACGACAAGTCCCTTTTGAGGAGTCATCAGACCCCAAAATGAGTCATGCGTGGTCAGGTACGATTGTTTTGTATCGGCGGAATGCCATTCCAGTGACTAGTGCAGTGGTATGCAAAATCCTTCCCTTAACCTCCTTGGTGCAGTACAGATAAAAGAAAAGACAACAAAGTGTAAATGAAAACGAACTTGGTGTTCTAACTTTGAAAAATTATAAAGAAACTAATTTGGCGCCTACATGAAACTTTTTTATGAGAAGGACACAAAATGTGTTAAATAATTTCAAGATTGAAATGGCACAAGGTTCAATGGATTCCGACAGACTATCTTCTGCTGGGTTATCAACACACAGCTCTGGAACTGCAGGGACAGTAGGAGGTTCAGTAGTGGGAGTGAGAGTTGGAGATCAAGGGCATAAAAGAGAAGATGAGGATGAATACAACTTAGGACCTTTGCCTCCAATGTGGGAGAAGGCATTTACTCCTTCCGGGGAAGCTTATTTTATAGAGTAAGTATTAATACACAAGTATATCAAATTGAATACTATCTTTTATTACCTATTTAATTGTATTGCTGGAGATTTTATGTTATTAAATTTTATAAAAATTTATGTAATCCGAAAAAACAACAAAAATGCAAGCTCCATTGAAGTCTGTAGTCAACATCTATATGATTTTATGTCTATGTACAAAATTTAATTTGAAATTTAACATGAGCTTTTTGATGAAGGACTAGGCCTAATGCCGATCGGCAACCTCACACATAAACTGAGAGATGTCCCCAGGTTTTGTCACAATGTTCTCCTTCACCGTAAAGCTCATATGAAAATTTGTACATAAATTCCGAAAACTCAAAAATGCAAGCCCGGATTAGAAACTAAGATGCTTTGCTTGATGCGGTAGGTCAAACCATTAGACTAGCACGACTTATGTTATTGTATACACATGTTCTTAAGCTACTGCAGGTGTTCTATTTATAAGTACATAATGCATAACAATAGTTATTGCTTGTACAATTGTTATTGGTGTTCACTTGAGTAATGTTCTAAAGTAAAAATGCCTAAAAGCAAAAATATTCAACTGCAGGTGGCGGTATCTGCTAAGAGACAATATGGGGTTCCACTGTTATATTGCGAATTTATCTAGGAGTCGCTTGAAGCGTTATGCTTTAATATGCCAATGTAGCTGTGGAGTGGAACCCTACCACCTGCAGGCTTGTTCTCTGAACGCCATTTCGACAGTGAAGTGGCAATCGGTACTTTCTCAATTTTGACAACTTTACAGGATGAAGAAAAAACTTGTTTCCGTCATTTACATAACATCTGGTTTATTAAATAAAAATGTGTAGTTTTTAAATATTTTTTTACAATGAAATTTCTTGCAACACTGCGGAATATAAAATAGAATGAAATGGTCATTGACTTAGAATTATATGGACGTCGGGTCCGCGCTAAAAAGTGTCCGCACTTGTAAGGCGCTAAAATCGTATACAGAGCGCGACACTCCGCTTTAGTCTTCATTTGTTCTACGGACAGCGCGATACTGCGATGACATAACAATTTAAATTTCGAATAGGTTGACTTGGGACGTTTTTTTCGTGGTTTTTGTATTAGATCCGTCGTCCATTTATTTGTAAGTCAATGGAAATGGTATTAAAAAGTGAAATCTTTAGAAAATTGAGATTGCCAGTTCACAGTCGACATATAATTTTTCAAGGCAAGAATGAATAGATATTAAATAGGTGTGCTTGCTCCATCATCACTTTTCATCAGGGAGATGGACACCAAATGGGCACTTATTTTATCTTTACGGTACGCATCCTAGAGACATGATAACCCTGAGATTTTGGTAAAAAAAATTATTAATTAATTTAATTCAAAATTTAAAAAAAATCGTGGATGAAAACACTACTGCACATACAGACACCAAACTAGAGAGTGTAGATTCTGCCACAAGGCACATGAAACTCCTATGCATCTCCTCTTCAATATATATGAAGGTCCATACTAGGAAGGTGCAGGCCGCAACTATAAAAACTGTCGGAGCCAGGAAAGTCCTTCAGGTTCTGAAACGTTGTTGGTCTTAGCTCCGAATTGTAATTAGTGGTCACATTAGATTAGTTCATGGTCGCAGTGATGAGTGGTTGCATAGGCCCTGAATGAAGCTACCCTAATAATAATAATAAAAGAGACAGCGAGTGGCTTTTGGGACGCTACAGACCGAAATCATTAGGATGGCTGGCTTGGGTTAAAAATCCATTTTCAATCTGTTTATCTGTCACTTGCACCACAACTTGTTCAAACTGGTTTTATAAAAGAAAAAAAAAGATTGAGTCTTCCTGCAAGAGCTGAGGGATTATCTGTTAAATTGATTTCATCACTTTCATCCCTGTTAGAATTTACCCGTTTATTGCTATAAAAGTTAAGTTTTATAAATAGTTAAATAGAATGTTTCATGTCCGTAACCATCTGAGTCAGTCCGGCTACTTGAATGAATCAATTTATGAGAAGTTGAAATTGTTTGTAATGATTTAAAAAATTTAAAATTTAAAAAATTTCGGTCCTCCGAATCTAACTCCTGTCTGTAGTATTACTCAGATTCCATGTACCTCTAATATACTGTGAATAGTCACTACTATGATATCACAAAGTACGTCCCATAAGCCCCATGCATGCTTTCCATTTAACTGTCGTTCTGACCTATGATAACCATAGAAAAGCATCATAATAAAACTGCAATCAACTTCTTCTCAACTTCTCTTTTAAAATAAAGTGTGATGGTTATTTAATGTTACTTACGTTATTTAAGATGTGGTCAGCCTTTGGAGTAACTTATAACAATAAACCGTTACAAACAAAGTTACTTATTATAGTTAGTGAAGAGACAGTATAGCTCCTCGACTTATAACAGTAATAGTAATAATAATAGCCTTCATTGCTGATACAATTCATTTGTTACAATATAATTCATTACTAGAAAATACAATTCATTATTTAAAAAATATAAAAATATGAATATCGCAACACATGACGCACCTCCACTTAGTCTGTAATTAAAAAGAGACTATATTACAGCTTCTAACATAAAATTTATCTACGACAATCTTCTCTTTCTATTGTATTTTGTCACTTTATATTGTTTTTTATGTTTTAAACCGGGTACTCACTAGCCAATTGTAATCGTAACCATTACATATTATGTAACCAAAAATCATACGTGGTTCGCGAGCTTGCCACGAGCGGAACCCGTGCAGTTCGCCGTAAGCCGACGATAACCAGAAACTCATTCCAGTGAGTGAAGACTGTTTCATTCGTATACACTAGAACCTCGTTATAGTATCTGTTACGTTACAATTCGCTAATGACTACCCGGCTTTATTAGGGTGACAGGTACAGTGGCAACGTCTCTCGGTTCTTTGCAATATATAGCTCTGAATGGCATTGCAACTGCTATGGATAGGCGTGTCGCATACTACCAGTCGCACGACTTGTTCCTCGCGTCACTTGGTGTTATAAAAAAACTCTAGAACACTTGAGCTATGTAATTTGTGTGGAAGTTGAACAACCTTTTTTTGTATATATTTACGTAATTAAATAATTGATAGACACTGAACAGAACACTTTGTGTTCATAACTTTGTTATGTTATGCTAATTTGTTTATGCAAGAGGTTATTAGGCAACATAACAAAGCATGTTCAGTGTTTGCTTGTAGCTTAGAGGTGAAAGTTGTATAAAAAGATTGTTTAAATTGTTAACAAAAAAAATCGGTGGTAATAATTGCAATGCAAAGTACTTTATTATCTATTTATAATTAGTAACTTTTTAAACACTCGAAATAATCAATTAGCTTTAAATAGTGAGCAAAAGAAAGTTTGTACATGTGCAAAGTACATAATTATCTATTTATAAATGATAACTTTTTTAGCTTCTCGAATGCTTTAAATAGTGATTAATATGAACTGTTTACCTGGCTATTAAAGACGACATGATTTTTCTCTGCTTTGATTTTCGGACGAAAAGAAAATATAAAAGGTGCGTTTAATTTGGATTTTTTAAATTTATATATAATCTTAAGATGCACAATTTTCTTAGCACAAAAAAAACGATTTTTTCTGTTCGTAATTTTTATTTATTAAATTCCAATGGTTCCACTTTCTCCCTCTAGTGATGTAAAAAAATAAATTAAAAGGTTTCCAGTAGCGTCCTGAGTCGAGATCCGTGCCCGCCTGGGCCCTTCCGTCTAGTCAAGGATATCAAGGGCCAACCCGAATCACTATGGTGTCTTGAACTTATTATATATTTATTACTGTTACATTACCGAGATGATGATGTTACCGAGAAACACAAATGTGAAGAATGTTCAGTAGCAATATCATTATTCGATTACGGTGAACGAAAACAACGCGATGAAACCTCGAAAATGGTTCACAAAACTAACCTTTGAAAATAATTTTAAGACTCCAACCAGCGCCGAAACTGCATATCTGGCTATGGCTTTAACCCTCTACTTAAAGGATGCCCAGTAGCAGGACGTATAATAAATTAATGATAATGTTAAGCAATTAATAATTATTTAATGAATTAAATATTCTTCATTGCTCATTAAAAATTACAATGACGACACAGAACAGTAATGTAAGTATTACAGAGTAAGCTAATGCATAACAGGTGGCCTTATTGCTAAGTAGCAATATCTTCCAGGCAATCTTAGGATATAAATTTACCAATTGGAATGGGGGTGCAACCACTCGTGCATGCACATAACGTGCACACACTCATCCCGCACTAGGAAAACCTTATAATGTAATAATGTGACAGACCACTACACCAATTGCCTGGTCTCAAACAGAGAATTCCCTGTAGGCACTATGACCCAGACCAACAGAATTCACTCTGGGGCACTTCCCAGAACACTCAGATGAGAACTAATTTAGAAAGGTTCATTTCGTAATTTGGTCCTACCGGGAATCGAATCTGGAACGTCCTCATCCAGTGCCCAAAGTTAACAAGTAACATTCAAAATATGCACCCATGCCGTCTTAAAATAGTGGGAAACAGGAATCCACACTGTCTTGAAACTCGTTTTAGACTTCTTCACAAGAACTAAATTAAAACAATTTACAATGCGTTCGTTAGTCGTATCCGCTCCGTATACGTCGTTAATGTCTCGAGTCGTTCGCGCTCGTATTCAAAATGACACGAACTTTTTTTCGAAAACAAATGAATAACCCCAAAATTTAAAATTTACTAACCATAAGATTTGAAATGAAAACAAATGAAATACGCCAAAATTTTAAATTTAGAGTCCTTAAAATTTGAAACGAAAACAAATGAACAACGTCAAAATTGTAAATTTAGAAGCTTTAACATTTTATTTGATAAAGATTTTTATACTGAATCTTACACTAATATTAATGTACTTAATTTACAACTGGCCAGAACTTTAGAATGGCAATTTCATTGGTACATACAGAGATACATACTTTATACCATTACTATGGTATAAAGT